GCCGATGACTACGGGTTCCGTCCTCGACTTGCCGAGACCGCCACTTAGGGTTGAATCAGCTTGTTGAAGTTGGAAAGGCTTGCCTGGCGCTCCGCTCCTTTCAAACTCGAAAATTCTATAGTCGGCGTTGAAGAACCAATAACCCGTCACGCCGGCGCGAAGGAACCCAGAGTGGGAGACAACAAAGACAAGCTTCTCTTTGCGTTCAAAAATGCTCTGCAGGCCTGATTGACCTCGGCCGAGTATGGCTTCTCTGTTGAAAGCATACTGGGCACCAGCAGGGGGTGTTTTGTTGGGGTAGATGGGATCTACAGTGGAAAAGTCAACACCTGGAAATTCGACCTTCAAATCTGCGATAGTGCTGCCCGTGTCGCATGGCTTCGCAGAGTTTTCTACACTAAAGTCAGTGATATGGCCTCAGAAAGTCTCGGAGGGTCACCCCGAATTGCAGGAGGTGGTACGGCTTATTACCTTGCCATCGAGCGTCGGCTTGAATTGGCACCCCTTTCTTAATCAGCCAATCTAAGGAGAGAAGGGCTGTCTGGATTGTGCGTCTCATGGGGCTGACGATAATGATTGCCTCAGTCTCGTCGGCGAAACGCTCGGAGAGATTTTCCTTTAGTTCCTGACATTGGCTCAAGCCAAGAGAAGATAGATCAGGGTCATGAATGTTCCAGTCCTGTAGTATGGTGTTAGATTGACTCGCGACTATGAAGTTGGCTGGAAGACTCATCATCAACATTGTGCAGCGCCTGGGCATGGCGGATGAGCACGAGTGTCGGCGGCATGGCGATATTTGGAAGGTTTGCTGCAGATGCGCAATTGTGTTCCCTAGATTCTAGAAGCTCTATGCTGGACAGTCGATGCAAATGACTGATTCACAGTAACAAAAGCAACCAACTCTATGACCGGAGTAGGCAAGTCTAAGCGTAGCGACAATACTGGAAACAGCAAATCAGCCGCCGTGACACACAGGGTAGGCACGCTTCACTTGAGCTTCTATGTGTGCATATTTGCATAGGTGCTTTGAGCTAGCTTACGGATACCTATCGGGCTACAGCTACAGTGTACATACATAGGTAAGGTAGGTACTTCCCCCAAGTGGCCTTGGCTCAATCCACCCCGTGCCACCCAACGTGCCAACTTACTTACATACGTACCTTGATGGACATACGTACTTTGAAGGTACCTCGGATTAAGCTAGTTAGGTACCTTAGCACGCTGGGCCTGGCGCGACGATACCGGGCAGCATCGCGTCTAAAAGCTCCTTGACCATCCCAAGCACAAGCCTTTTACCGTTGCTGCAAATTCACCTACGGCACAACGCAACTTACCTACTAGTCACCCAGAGTCTTTCCGGAATCACTCAAAGGAAATGGCGGATGTGAACGAGTTGTTCAAGGTGAGTCGCACCATAAGTCTCCCGATCACAGCCTTACTTACTAGGCACTCTAAAGTCCGGCAGTACTGCGAAAAGGAAGCTTGATGTTGTGCGAGATCCCAGTTAGTATCTGCCTCCATTGCTGCCCAACAGCGAACGCGAAGTAATAGATATACAGATGAAATATACAAGTCAGCCAAACTGAGCGCAGCTGACGCCATCAGTCGACATGCCAGCACAGTAGACGCGGAAGGAGACGATAGCGATTTCACTGCCGGTCCGCAAAACCCACCTGAAGATGGCGAAGACGAAGACTATGGCCCAGAAATGCCGCCAGACGATGACGACGAGGGTCGATTCTTTGGCGGAGGTATTACAAAGCAGGAGTCTGAGATCCTCGACTTCGTAGACGGCCATGGCGAGGAATCATCCGCCCCTGAAAAGATCGATGCTGGCTGGGTACGAAAAACGGCACTAAACTTTGAGAAGCGCATCACGCGAAATGCTGAGCTGCGCGCAAGGTTTGCCGACGAGCCACACAAGTTTATTGAGAGCGAGGCCGATCTCGACGCTGCCATCAAAGACCTCTCGATCCTGTCCGAGCACCCCGAGTTATATCCCCAATTCGCAAAGTTGGGATGCGTCGAGAGCCTCGTCGGCTTGTTGGCCCATGACAACACAGATATTGCGATTGATGCGGTGGAAATTATTGGCGAGCTTATTGACGAAGACGTCAATGCAGCGGATCAGGATTGGGATACTCTAGTGGATGGGTTATTGACTGCAGACCTCATTGGCTTGCTAGTGTCCAACTTCTCGCGTCTGAACGAAGAGGACGAGTCTGACCGTGGTGGTATATATCATGCTCTTGGAGTCGTTGAAAGCCTGCTCTCCAAAACGGCGAATGCTGAAAAGGTGGGACAGAACACAACGCTGGTCAAATGGCTACTTGACAGGGCACAGCGCCAAGAAACACCCGTGTCCCAAAACAAGCAATATGCTACGGAAATTCTCGACATTATTGCGAACGCATCGCCAGCAACAAGACGGACACTCGCCGAGATGGATGCGGTCGAGGTTTTACTCCAGCTGGTCTCTGCGTATCGCAAACGTGACCCTGAGAAGGGGGGCGAGGAGGAAGAGTATATGGAGAACCTCTTCAACGCTCTCGTCTGCATTGTGGATGAGCCAGAAGGCAAGGCCAAGTTCCTCGAAGCCGAGGGCGTCGAATTATGCCTGATCATGCTCAAGGAGGCCAAGATGAGCAAGCAGCCGGCAATGCGTCTACTTGTACACAGCGTTGACGAGGATATGAGCGGGCAGCTATGCCGAAAATTAGTAGACGCTGGCGGGCTGAAAGTGCTCTTCTCCATTTTCAAGAAGACGAGCAAAACTCAGAGGCAGATGACAGAAAGCCTATTTGATGTATTCAGGTCCTTGCTACGATTCTTGCCTGCTGACTCTGCCGAGCGAATCAGGACATTGGCCAAATTCGTGGAGAAGGACTACGAAAAGCTGGGTCGGCTCTACGAGTGTCGGAAGAGGTATAGTTCCATGTTGGATGCGCAACAGGAAAAGATTCGTCAAGAGCAAATTGGCATGAGCGCTGAGGAGATTGAGCTCTCGGAAGGCGAGTGGTTCATGAAGAGGATTGAGGAAGGTCTCCACAGCTTCTGGAATATCGATGTTGTCTTGGCCTGGCTCATAGCCGAAGATTCTGGAGCTAGGAGGAAGGTGCAGAAGCTCCTGGCCGCTGATGGGAAGGGTCTATCAGCCATCAAAGCGACGTTGGAAGAATACCGATCTGACCTCACCCTGGAAAAGCCCGAGCACAAAGATCTCTCCGATATGCTCACCACTCTCATGGACTTTTTAGTTTAGACATAAGAAGACAAAGAAGAGGAAGAAGAAGAAGAAGGAGGAGAGGGAGAAGTAGAAGGGGAGGACTGGCTAGCAAAGTACAATTTTACCACAGCTACCCGATCTATGTAGGTGCGATTCTCCAAAGTTCCGGTCATACCGCGCAAACAACTCGCGCTTCAGTCTGTTGTCCTGGCTTCGCGCATCATCGGCAATTTGTGAACGCGTCCTCGTCATCCTCTTCTCACCCGGGACAAAAGTGCTGGCTTCATTTCTATTCGTATGCTGCGCATAGCGTGTCCGATGCACTCGTTACCAGTGTGCTTTGATGCTATGAAGAATGCTGATAATGGCTCATGCGGCAGTCGGCGCGACAGGCTTCACCTCGAACACGGCCTTCAGGAGATCAGCTACGACCTTGTCCTGGCTCTTCTTTCCGGCCCCCTGGATCTCCTTGATCTTTCCTTCTGCCTCCTTGTTCGCCTCATCCTCGGCTGCTTTATTTCCTTGGGAGTGCTAGAGGATTGTCAGCACCGAGATGGTGTCGGAGCGGTGTCGGAATCCACGACAGATATACCTCAGATTCGAACTTCTTGAACTCGTCCTCCTTAGAGTTGCGGTACGCCTCGATTTCCTTCTTGGCCTCGTCTCGGGCTTCCTTCACCCGCTTCGTACGGACTATTTCGGTATTGCGTGAGTATGTCATAGTCGCAGCAGTATTGATCGGCCTCGAAACCTACACTCGCGGGCTAGGTAGGGTTCATTCATTAGTCAACCAGTTACTTCAACATGTACCCCTGGGCATACCTTTTTGGACAATCTTGGAAGCTTCCCTCTCTGCCTGCATCGCTTAGGTGAGTGACAATTTGACAAGGAGTGTCGCGACGGAGGGCACATACGTCCAGGAGGGTCTGGATACCAGCTGAGTTCTGAGCCGACTGTAGAATGCCAAATCAGCTTGCTGCAAGTTGATGGATGACGTTGCTGTCCGCGTCGCACGTCCTCACCATTGTGTAGTATTGTTGCAGGTGTAGCTAGCGGGGAAAGCAACGTAGGGTGATTGCGCGATTTGAGACTGCTGGCCGATTGATATCACAAGGAGCGAATGCAGGAGATGTGTTGATAGCCGTAAGTAAGGTAGTTGTCAACAATCACAAGTAACAGGAGGCGACGAGGAAAGCTGGGGTGCGCTGGTTACGGAGCGAACGTAAGGCGAGGTACCTACCCAGGTAGGTGCCAAGGAAGGTCACAGTGCACAACCGCGCCGTCTCTAGCACTGTACCTCCAACCTCAACCCTCCAACTCAAGCTCCCATGTCTCTCTACCTGGTAAGGTACCTTAGTGGGGTAAAGGAGCTAGCGGGGCGCTGACAGACATAGGTGAGGCACCCACATCAGGCATATATGCACTACCTTAAGATGCGACGTAAAGTGTAACTAGACATCTGCTCCTGGGACTTGAGGCGTTGAGGGTGCTCTGCAATACAGTTGTTGAAGACGACAATTGCGTGAACCTAACTTGCGGTAGATATATTGAGACTAGCAGGTACGCAACGACGTTTATTGGCCCCTATTTAAAGGATACCCGCTGTCGAATCGAGAACCGAGTTAACCGACACCAACGCGGCGGATGCTGTCGCTCACGGGGAGAGATTCAAACACCGAAATCGAACCACCAACATCACCGGAGTTTTGATAACCCTCTGTTCAAGCGTTCGCTTCCACACGTCACCCGCACGTTCAAACATCGTCTTCCAACCATGTCCAGGGCATCGAAGCTTACGCTGGCCGCGACATCGCTGTTCGCCGCCAGCACCATTGTCATTGTCCATTTCCAACAAAAGTTTGAAAAAGAGGCATGTACCACCTTGGATTACCGATGCTCCCATAGGAATCTGTATCTAAATGAGAGTGCCTAGGCCATGCATCAGGGAGTGGTACGCGACATCGAACAGCAGCGTATCAAACGAGAACGCCAACTCGACTTCGACATGCAGCGCGCCCTCGAGGAGGACTACAAGCGTGAGCAGACCGTCAGAGATGCAACGGCGCCCTCACAACCCAGCGCAAGTGGCATACAAACATAATCTGTAGCCAATGGTCTGTCTCGTCTGTACCCAGCAACTAGGCAACATGAAGACAGGGCCGGATCGACGGAAATAAGAAATCACGGTGCATTTGTATAATATGAGGATGAGAGGAGGGCGTGGGAAACGATGAATAGTACGCGCGGGTTCCTCTCACTGTCGAGGATAGAAACAGCTGAAGAGATGGCATGACACTAAACAGGGGCATTGCATCGCGATTAAGGGAAAGTAATCGCCAAAATGTTGCAATGTCACGTAGGAAAGGCTACTACTGCGGCATCGCTCGCGCATACATATTAGCAAGATTCGCGTGAATAATACCCAGGAAGGAAGGAAGGGGCAGAAGAAGCAGATGCTACCTCACCTTCACTTGGGTACGAAGCCGAATAGTCTACCCGAACTGAGACGGAGGAAACATTACTGCACAACGCCCAAGGCTTTGGGCTTGTTTCTTAATCATTGATTTAATGGTACATGTCATTGATACAAGACACATGGAGGCAACATCTGCCAATTTTTCTATGGCTCGCCCCAAGATGCGAGTGGATAGGGTGGCCAGAATATAGTTCCCCAGCCTCGAAGACGCCAAATACAACCAATCACCTCCCAATACTCCCTGCCTGCCTGCCTGCCTGCTCAGCCGTTCTCATCTTGCAGGCCACCTCCATGACCCAAGGCTCAGCAACCTATTTTCCAAACATCCCATTCCGCAGCTAGTCTCTTTATCGGATGGAGACTCCGGACCTGTTGGTAAACATGCGGGCGGCGATGTTCATTGACTGCAGCTCCTGGAACAGAAGCTTAGCTGCGTAAGGAATGTGGATTTGTGCAATTTTCGTCTTGTTTTTGCACGGCCGACACTCGAACGATTGCTTCGAGAGGTTTCTGGTATCAAGTTAGTACTGCTCCGCGTGAAATAGTAGACTAGGAGAAACTTACGCGATAGGCGTCATCAGGCCACAAATTTCGCAAACATGAACTCGGAAAGCATCCGAGACCTCGAAAAGTCTCTCCTTGAGGAAAGATGCGGCGCCATGAGCAATCATGCAATCACGCTCCATCTCTCCGAAACGAAGACCTCCATCACGAGCACGACCCTCCACAGGTTGCCTGGTCATGATCTGAACAGGTCCACGCGCACGAGCGTGAATCTTGTCGTCCACCATGTGGCGCAGACGCTGGTAGTAAGTCGGTCCAAAGAAGACCTGGGCTCGCAGCTTCCTGCCAGTGTGGCCATTGTACATGATCTCGAATCCTCTCGATTGATATCCTTGATCTCGGAGGAGCTGCGAGACTGAGTCGACTGTGACATCTGTGAAAGGGGTGGCGTCACCCTCCATTCCCTTTAATGTCGAGACTTTGCTGAGTAAACACTCGATCAAGTGGGCAATGGTCATACGAGACGGAATTGCGTGAGGATTGATGATGATGTCTGGTGTGATGCCCTCGCCCGTAAAGGGCATATCTTCTTGCCGATAAGTGACACCAATGGTACCCTTCTGGCCGTGACGTGAGGCAAATTTATCACCAATCTGTGGAATCTTGGTTGTTCTGACGCGGACCTTGACGTAACGGAGGCCGTCTTGGTTGGTCGTCACGATGACCTGGTCTACAATACCGTTTTCCGTACTTCTGAGTGGGGTGGAGGCGTCGCGCTTGACATGCTGCACCGTTCGCTGGCCCATCTCAGCGTTGTCCGGGCTTATAGGCGACGTCTTTCCGATAATGATATCTTCACCCGAGACACGAACTCCCGGTGCTACGATGCCATCATCATCGAGCTTGTCGTAGGTGCCATGCTTCAAACGTAAGGTATCGCTTCTGAACGGTTTCTCAAACTGCTCAACAAGATTGATACCCACGCGCTTCTCGCAGTCAGTGTACGACCTGAAGAATAGACTCCTGAACAGGCCACGATCGATGCTGCTCTGATTCATGATCACGGAATCTTCCTGATTGTAACCAGAGTAACAGGCAATAGCGACGACGGCGTTCTGTCCGGCTGGAAGCTCTCTGAACTTGAGGAATTCCATGGACCGCGTGGTGGCAAGCGGTTTTTGAGGGTAGTAGAGAATATTGGCCATCGTGTCCATTCTGCGTGAGTAGTTTGTCAAGAAGAAGCCCATGGCTTGCTTGCCCATGGCGGACTGGTAGGTATTACGAGGTGACTATGAAAGGCATTCAATCAGTGCTTGCTTGTCAAACGAAAACGGGGAATGGCATACCTGGTTGTGATCGGGGAAGGGAATGATGCTGGCGCAAATTCCTAACAGCATGCTGGGGTGGATTTCGCAGTGAGTGTACATGTGTGTTGTGGGATTAATCTTGGTCTTCAGACGGCTATTGGGGCCATCGGTATTGTCCTCAACCACTTGACCTTGCTTCTGCAATCTGTAGATTTCCAGATCCTCGGGCGTCATGCAAATCATGGCTGTCTCTTCTTCCTCAGCATCGAGATATTCTATAACACCGCTGTGGGCAAGGGACTCCCAAGTAATCTTGTCAGCCGGGTTATCTGGAGGGTTCTCCTGTTGCTCGCGCATTTCGTTGACCGTTGCCTTTTGCAGCACGAGCGATCCCTGAGCTACTATGCCGTTGGTACCTTGCTCTACAACGAAAACAGGTCTCATGACTCTGCCGGCGTCGGAAAAGATCTTGAACTCGCGGTCTCGGATATCACGGACGAGCGACACTTCGTGGGAAATAACGTTTCGCCGACGAGTGCCCTGAACATCAGGAACCAAAATTCTTGGGTCTTGGTGCACGCCAACCCAGACACCATTCAGGAAGACCTTGGTGGCGTTGGGATACCTCAGTGGCTCGTACTCCTCAAGAACCTCCATGCCTCGCTGGATCATGTAGTCGATAATGGGTTCGGCGGGTGTACCGACACTGACATAACACATGAGAGACAAGTTCTTGACGAGACCACATGCTTGGCCTTCCGGCGTCTCAGCCGGGCAAACCAAACCCCAGTGCGTGTTGTGAAGTTGCCGGGGCTTTGCCAGCTTGCCGTCACGACCAATGGGCGTATTTGTGCGACGAAGATGGGATAGCGTAGACGCAAAAGTATAGCGGTTCAATACCTGAGACACGCCAGCCGTCGAGCTCGCGGCCTTCTTCTGATCTCCCCAATTGCCAGTCGCCAACGAGTACTTCAATCCATTTGAAAGAGTCTGCGGCTTCACACCGAGAGTGAGACTGAATTGCCTGTTAGACTCGACACAGCGCTTGAGATGGCCAGATAACTCCTGGTTCATGCGGCGGACGATGTTGCGGAACAGCTTGGCGAGAAGGGGGCCGGCGAGATCAAGGCGCTTTTTGCCAAAGTGATCACGATCGTCGGTATCGCGCCGACCTAAGGCGCATTGGAGCAGCTTGTGAACCATGTATCCCAAAAAGAACGCCTTTCTTGTCTCACTGCCTTCGCTCTGGGAGATATGCGGCAGAGTTTCTTTTTGAAGAATGTCTTTAGCAGTTCTCACACGCTTCTCTCTGGGAATGTTGTGGTTGCTGCCACGCTTGCCGATAAAGTCAAGGGCAACCTCTCTGTCCTGGATACAGAAAGCTTCCTCGATGCATGGCCGCAACATCTCGAGCATCTGGCTATCATTTCGATCATAGCAAATATGATTGAGGATATCCTCGTCGGATACCACACCCAGAGCTCGGAAAACGATGGCGATTGGCAGATCAGCCTTGACATAGGGCAGACTGCAGTGGATAGTCTGACCGTACCCGCCCTTTGCCGCGTCGCCCTTGCTGTACAGCTTCAGCATCATAGATGAAATGAGTCGAGAGCCCTTCTCGAGAGCGCTGCGGATTTCAGCTGTGTAAGAGTATGGACTCGGCTGGGCCTTCTTGAAGACTTGGACAATGTTGGCGGCCGATCGCTCTTGAGCAATGAGGACCTTTTCACTACCGTTGATGATGAAGTAGCCTCCCTGATCGTAAGGACACTCGTTAAGCATGAACAAGTCATCCTCCTGCTCGCTACTCAAGTGGCAAATCTTAGACTTGACCATAATGGGCATGCGACCGATGAAAATCATGTCCTTCATGTCGTCTGACTTGTTTTTGTCGGCGCCATAATCCTCGCCGCTCTCCTCCTCTTCCCACTCCAACTTGGTAGGGTGCTCGCCAGTATTTGCAAGTTCGTCCTGCTGTTCCTCATCGAGCTCATTCAGCGGAACCGGTTTCTCTACCGCAATCGAGACCTTCTTGGTGATCTTAACATAGAGGGGACTGGCGTAAGTGAGGTTGCGGTCGCGGCATTCGTAGGGAAGTAATGTCGTAACTTTACCATCAGCTTCGGTGATGGATGGACGAGATACCATGACAGTGCCAAATTTGACTTCGTACCGACGGAGGGCGATGACCTTGTCGCTGTCTGACATAGGATTCGGCTGGTCTAGGGTGATTTGGGAGTACTCGTCGATGAGCTCTTGGACGGTTGAAGAGGTGAATTCGTCGAAGGAGTCGACTTGCTGAGAAACCAAACCCTTCGACTCGAAGAAGGAAGAGATGACGGTCCAGCAGTCTTCGGGCGTGATGCTGGTATCGTCTTCTTCGACGTACCCGTCGTAGTCGTAGTCATCGTAGTCGGCCATCTCGGAGACGTTGGCACCTGCGTGTGCGATGACGGATGCCAGACAAGAAACAGGTTGAGTGAGCAGTAGTCGGCCTTGTGTTTATCTGCAGTGGTGCGTCTGGTACTCAAGTCTGCGAGCGATCGAGTTCCGAGGCAGTGTTCGACGGGCAAGAAGCGGCGACTCGCGGTAGGAGTCGGGTTCCCACAACGATGATGATTAACAATCACGACGCAGGGCACAGGCGAGTTTGCCTCTTCAGCTCGGTTGGGGCATGAAAAGAGAAACAAGGCCAGGCGCGAGATTGGAAGACCGACTGCGCAAAGCGATGCCGGTTCGATTTGTAACGGACGGGTAATGCAATGGTGTACGCCCGATGCAGATGACCAGCCTCGTTACCTAGGGTAGGTG